AGTATTCCATTGTCACAAATAGATCAGACAGAAAAAACAAATCAACAAAGAAATATCAGAGTAGAACAAAATCTTCATACAAATAGACTTAATAAATATGTACAGTGTTCCACCAAATAGAAGAATACACATTCTTCTCAGCAGCACATGGAACTATCTCCAAGATAAACAACATACTAGCCAATAAAACATGCTTAAGCAAATGCAAAACAATTAAAATTTTACCATGCATATTGTTGTATCATAGCACAATGAAACTAGAAATCAACAGCAAACGACAACACAGGAATTATGCAAAGGCATGGAAATTTAAACAATAGAGTCTTAAATAATCAGAGAGTTACAGAAGCAATCCAGGAAGAGTCCATGGCCATACCACCCTGAATGCACCTGATCTTGTCTAATCTCTGAAGCTAAGCCAGGTCAGGCCTGGTTAGTACTTGGATGGGAGAAATCCAGAAAGATCTAACACAGTTTTTAGAACTAAACGACAATGCCAGTACAACATACCAGAACTTATGGGACACGAGGAAAGGGGTCCTAAAAGGAAGTTTATATCTGTGAATGCCCACACAATAAACAAAATAGACAAACTGTTACACAATCTTACCAAAAAAAAAAAAAAAAAAAAAAAAAAAAAAAAAAAAAAAAAAAAAAAAAAAAAAAAAAGAAAAAACACAAATCAATGACATTAGAAATGAAAAGGAGGGTGAAATCACAATGGAAACTGCTGAAATTCTAAAGTTTATTAGCAACTATTTCATAAACCTGTATGCCAGTAAATTGGAGAATTCAGAATAAATGTTTAAATTGCTAGGTACATATGAATAACCAATATTGAAGATGTAAATTGAATATTGTAACCAATACAAGAAGATGTAAAAACCCTGAATAATAAAATACCAGGCAATGAAATTGAAGCAGTAATTAAACCTACCAACTAAAAAAGCCCAGTTGTGGATGGATTAACCACTGAATTCTACAAAATCTTTAGGAAAGATCTACCACCAATAGTCTTCAAATTCTTTATTGAAATTGAAGAGTGGTGGAATACTCCCAAAGTCATTTCTAAAAGCTACCATTTCCCAGATTCCAAAGCTAAACAAGGATCCAACCAAAAAAGAGAACTGTAGCCCAATCTCTTTAATAACTACAAATATAAAAATCCTTAACAAGATTTGGCAAACAGAATGAAACAAATCATCAAAAATATTATATATCAGGCCAGAATTTAGCTCAGTGGCTAAATCTGCCTCACAAGTGCAAGGTCCTGAGTTTGATCCCTGGTAAAAAAAAAAAAAGATCATACATCATTAACAAGTAGGCCTCATTTCAGGGATGCAAGGATGGTTTAACACAAGCAAATTAATAAATGTAGTACAGAAGCAAGGACAAAAATCACATGATCATCTCAATAGATGCAGAAAAAGGCTTTGACAAAATCCAACATCAATTCATGATAAAAACACTAAAGAAACTACATACAGAAAGATCTTATCTAACCTAATAAATGTCATCTATTACTGAACTATTGCCAGCATCATATTAAATGGGGAAAAGTTTAAAGCTTTCCCTCTGAAATCAAGAGGACAAGAATGTCCTCTATTGCCACTCCTATGTGACATATCAAGAGCAAGAAAAAGAAATAAAAGAGATATGTATAGGAAAGGGAAAAGTCAAATAGTCTTTATTTGCAGATGACATGATCCTCTACATAAAAGATTCCTCCAAAAACTTTCAGAATTAGTAACAAAATTTAGTAATGTAGCAGGTTACAAAATCAACATGAAAAAATCAATAGCATTCCATTGCCTGCTTCACAAGCACAAGGACCCTAGTTCAATCCCTGGTACAAAAAAAACAAAACCAAAAAACAATAAATCAATAGCATTCCCATATACCAATAACGAACTGAGAAAGAAATTATGAAAAATACCATTCACATGAAGAAAAATTAAATACTTAGAAATTACCCTAACTAAGGAAGTGAAAGACGTCTCCAACAAAAATTACAGTCCTCTGAAAAAGAAGATTGAAGAAGACATTAGAAAATAGAAAGATATGGGCTGGGGATTTAGCTCAGCAGTTCGGTGGCCTGCCTTGCAAGCGCAAGGACCCGAGTTCAATCCCTGGTACAAAAAAAAAACAC